AGTAGCCAAGTTCAAATTTTTTTGTTGTTTGCAAAGCTTTCTCTGACCTGGGGAAAGATCTTTTCTAGGAGGATTTTAGTCTAAAGGTAATTTTCCATTGATTATCTGCAAATTATATTAAATCTGAAAGGGAATTAAAAAAAAAAACACTACAACGTAACTCTCAATGATAAAAGAACAAGAGGAGATAAAGGAACTCACATAATCAATCACAACAAACTAGTGAAAAACGCAAATATGAAAACGTAGAACAAGCTTTGCTAGCTTCGGCTTTTGTCTTTTCTCAGCTTTGGCTGCCCTTTTGTAACCAAAAAGACGAAGAAGAGTTTAGTTCCCTTGCTTGAAGCGAGAAGAAGAAATGAAAAAGATGAGACTTTGTGATGTTTTACCTCATTCGATGACTTACTTCCCTTGCTTGCTGCGCGGCGCTGGTCAGTGAGGGCACAAGGGAAAAATGAGGCAAATGAAAATTTTCAGGGGATGGGGCGGGTTTAAACGATTGTTTTAGGTTTCAAAATGACAAAGTTTTATATAACAAAATAATCAATAAAATCACCAAAACGTGTGTGGCTTTACTGGTAAGGGGGGCGGCTTTTTACCAGGTCATGCGTTCGAACCAGGAGGTGATTGGTTTAGGCATTTTTTTAACCTTTTTTGTTCCAACCAGGAGTTCATTGGTTTGGTCATTTTTTAACGTTTTTAGCCAAAATGAACGTGTGAAGAATAAATTGCCCGTTTGTCAGATTCGAGCAAGAGACTTCAAGATTGAAACAAGCATAGGCGGCCAATCAAGCTAACGAACTTTGATGAAATCGTTGCGGCAGAAAGTATATATATAACGTATAGCCGTAAAAAATATTAGATTTGTACAAAGTTGAATGGATTGAATCATTATTAATAATCCACAGTAATTACATGAGAAACTGATGTAGGAAACAAAGGGACGCATAAAATTAAAATAAATTTAGATAACAAACAAAGTATGGATCTGCAACCCGACTCATTTAGGCATTAGTGGGTATTGCAAGATTTCATAAGTATATTAGATTAATCACATTTTAAATAAAATAAATAAATAGTAGTAATATTTAATTACTACATACATTATTTTATTAACTATATCTCTCATATATATTTTAATTAATTTATTATCTCCTTCAATAACTTTATTTCTCAATCCTCTCATACATATGTTCATAATCAATATCATTATGTGAATTAAGTGTGCTCACAAATTTAATTATAATAATCTCCCTCATATTTTAATTATGTTATCTCTTTCAATTATAATGTCCTTCTCTCTCTCTCCACACACTTTATCTATTTTCTAATTATATTTACATCTACCTCTCACACACATTCTATCTTTCACTACTTTCCACATCACTCAAACTTACATACTTTCTCATATATGCCTCCGTGTCATTTCTCTCCTATGTACATACCTTTCTAATTCCATCTCTCAAACAATTTAATTATAGTATATGTGTTTTATACACACTCCAAACTCTCTTCCTCTCCCTTCCTCTCCCTTTCTCTCCCTTTCTCTCTCAAACACCACATTATCCTTCTTTTGGTCTCTCTCTAACACAACAATACATGAAAACACAATAATTATCAAAGTTACTTAAACAAATAAAAGATTATAATATAAATTTTTACACAAAAAATTAAAAATGGTTATAAAAATGTGAAAAAACTTTCAGTGGTGACAAATCGTGTCGCTGCTGAAAGTGTGATTCAATGGTGACAAAATGTCACCGTTGAAAGGGTGTATCAGCAGCGACAATATCCGTCGCCGCTGCAAGCATGATTCAGCAGCGACAATTTCTCGTTGTTGAATCCTACTTTCACTTCTTTCAGCAGCGATATTTTGTCACCTCTAAAAAGACATCCAGTAGTGACAATCGTTGTAGCCGCTGAACTTTACACTTTCAGCGGCGAAGGCTTTATCGCCACTGACTGCTGCATCTACAGCGGCAACAATAGGTGGTCGCCGCCATTACTGTCATTTTCAGTGGTGACACTTGTCGCCGCTGAAAGTTATAGTTTCAGCGGTGACTTTTTTTGTCGCCGCTGAAAGTTGTCACTGAAAATCCAATTTTTTATAGTGTCGCCCCACAATTGGAATAAATATTTTGATTGAAAGGGCTCTATTGATTGAAAACAAAACAATAAATGGAGAAGCCATATTAGAGGTGCATGATTTACTTCAAGAATTAGCTAGGAGTATTGTTTTTCATGAATCTCCTAGTTGTGTTCATGGACGAAGCAGGTTGTGGAATCTAGAAGACATTGATGAAGTATTGAAAAATGATAAAGTGAGTACCTTATTTCTAAATACTCATTTGTGTTTTAATAATTCAAGTTGTATCCTATTGTACTTTAGTTTTCTACATTAAATTATCACGGAAAACCTTTTATAGATTTGTGGCATCATAGATTAATATACTTCCCTTTTCCAGTACTTCCTAGACTTTTGAAAGGTTGTAATGTTGTTTTCTCAAATAAATGCAATAGTACTTTTTGTTCAACATGCTATGTGGGCAAATCACATAAACTACTATCACCATCCTTCATGACTATATATACATACATTCACCACTTGAATTGGAATCTATTGATCTCCAAGACCCTGTTCCTTGTCCTTCAATCCATGAAAATCTTTATTACATCGATTTTGTTGACCATTATTTGTTTTACTTCTATTGGTTAATATATCTATTTAAACTAACTTTGATGCTTATTCAGTTATTCTTTAAATCAAAGTAATGGATGAAAATAAATTAAATGCCATAATCAAGTCCATTCAAACTAATGGGGTCATGAGTTTAGGTTTTTTGACAAATTTTTAGCTGCCAAGGGTATCATTTATAAATATACTTATTCATTATTAGTATACTTATTCATGTGCTTATTATCAAATGGGTACTATTGAGAAAAAACATACATATATAGTTGATACTGGCCTGACTTTATTATCTCATGCTAGAATGCCTTTAAAATTTAGGAATATGCTTTTCTCATTGATACTTGTATACAAATCTTTTTCCTTCCTATGCTTTTCATAATCTTCTTCTAGCAAAATTGCACTCTCTCCTATTCCCTCCATGTCTTCCTTATAGCCTCAGCCTTCTAATAACTGAATCAGATCTCCTTCCTCTACTATTTCCTCACCTTTTCCTTCTTCTCCTCCTGTTGGGCTTCCTTCTTATTGACCTTCTAGCCCAACTCCTCTATCTCTCTCAGTTACTTTCTCCTGTGCCGCTTAATACTCATTCTAAAGACAGTATTCACAAGCCTAAAGCATATTCTACTACTGCTACTCTTTTTGTTGATCCATGATCCTTATCACCCTTTCAAATTCCTCATCAGGCAAAAGCATATGGAGCTAGACTTATTCTTTGTTAGAGAAAAATTGTTGCAAACCCAACTGCTTGTTTACCATATTCCCTCTATACATAAGATATCTGATGATATATTTACTAGGCTATAATATAATTGATATTTGATTTTTTTTAGGGTCTAAACTTAAGGTCCAAGATGCCTTGAGTTTGTAGGAGGCTATTAAAGTATAAATACTAGTTATAAGTTAGATAGGTGGCTTTGCATTTAGTTATGCAAGTTCTTTAGTCATATGCTCTTAGTGTATTAGGTTTAAATACAATACATATCACATAATTAATGAAATGTTTAGTTCCCTAATCTTTCTTACTCTTCTTTTTCTTTGAAACCTAATGATTCTCATGTTATTTTCTTGGGAATCAATGTTTTATTTGTCAAGGAGCTGAAGTAACACAAAGCATTGTCTTAGATTCCTCCCCACAGGATGATCTTGACTATTTTTCAAACCATTAAATGGAATAGAAGTATTGGGAACATCATGCTTTCTCACAAATGTTTAATCTCAGATTACTCATCATTTGAAGGAGATTAAAACTTCCTAATGGTCTCAAATGCCTTTCTAGTGCATTAAGAGTTTTTCAGTGGCAATATTGCCCTCTAGAATCTCTTCCACTTGGAACATCATTGAGTAAACTTGTTGATATACAAATGCAGCATAGCAATATAAAGCAATTTTGGGATGGGATACGGGTGCGTAACCACATTCATCATTGTTCATCACATATGACTGTTGTGGTATATATTGATGAATATGTTATACATTAGGACATTATTCTAAGACTAATTTTCCTATCTTTTTGTTAATTTGTTCAGATTATGAAAAACTTGAAGTTTGTTGATATGAGCTTTTCTAAAAATTTGACTCAAACTCTGGATTTCTCGGGGCTTCCAAATTTAAAAAATTTAATTCTTGAAGGATGCTTATCCCTTGTTGTGATTCATCATTCCCTTGAAGGGTTGAAAAAGCTTGTCAGTGTGAATTTATGTGGGTTCACAAGTCTTGAAGGCCTTCTAAGAAAACTAGAAATGAACTCATCGGAAAAGTTACTCCTTAGGCAGTGTTCTAAAGTTTCAGAGCTTCTAGAGTTTGGGGAAGGGATGAAAACACTATCCTGCCTTGATATAAGTTATACTCTCATAAGGAGACTTCCCAAGTCATTTAGATTTTTGACTGGTCTTAGATATCTGAAAATGCGAAGTTGTGAGCAACTTGTTTTTTGTCCACTTGTCTTCCACAATTTGAAGAATCTCAAAATGATTGACATTTCTGATAGCTCAAAACTTTCAAAGGGGCAAGAAAGATTGAATAAAACTGAGGCCTTCAAAGAACAAGGCATGGGTGAAAATTTTAGAAAAAACATGACTCTCCTCAATGATCCATTAAGTAATCAAGTCTTCAACTTTAATCTATTGTCATTAACAGAGTTAGACTTAAGTGCTTGTGGCCTTAGTGATGGATCAATTCTTGAAGATTTTGGTGGTTTGTCATCATTAGTTGCATTAAATCTTGGAGCAAATGATTTTGTTAGCCTACCTTATGATTGGTTTTGTAACTGTTTCAACTCCACTTTCTTTTTCTAAGTTCTTGCAAAAGGCTTAAATCACTACACAAGCTTCCATCAAAGTTAATCCGATTAGATGCAATGGGTTGTGAATCAATGGAACCTTTATCACAAACAAAGTTATGGAATATGGTTTCATCACTTGACCATGAGGTATATTCTCCTAATTATGTTCTATCTACTAACTTATGGATCATTTTCTTTTTATCTTTACACAAATAACATGACTTTTTCCTTGTTTTAGTATCGTCATCGAGTTACATATGATAATACATTGCTCAAGCACATTGAGGTATGTTTGCTTCTTTTTATGCATGTTTTTTTCCCTATTCTAGTAGGTAGGTGTGTGTGTATATAGTTTTTAATAGGGTAACTTTGTTGCAGGTAGTAGAATATCTCCCCCAAAGAGATTTTTTCACAATTCTTTGGGGATTAGAAATACCATCATGGTTCCCAAATAAAGATTTGGTTCCTTCAGAACTTTATAGATCCAAATATGAATTAATAGTGGACATCCCTCAACATGTTCGTGCAAGTGAATGGTCCGGACTTTTTGTTTGCATCAAATTTCAAATTATGACTAGTATATTTAATGGTTTTCATATTTCTTGGAGTAGTAAAGCCCCCGAAGATGATCAATATATTAGGAAAAAGTGGGGACATGAAATTAGTATAGTCCTTAAGGAGGGTCCTCACCTTTGCTTAATGTGTTGCATTTGAACGAGAAAACATGTTGGCAACATCTTAGAGGTCATAATAATTGCCTTCACATCAAATTTACCTTTCATTCTCCATGCAAAGAGATGCTTAAGATAGGAGGCTGTGGATGGCGTGTAATTTGTAAAGAAGACATAAAAGAATAGAGACACACTGATTATTTGAACAAATCAATTGAAGAAGAGATTGATGCTTCTAAGGTCTGTCTTCCTCACACCACATTGGATAGAACAATAAAAATCTTTGAATGAAGAAAAGAAAGAGAAATAAGTTATGGTGACTCACGTGTTCTATTGTCCTATTTATGCTCTTTTACTTGGTTAATACATGAAAATATGCAGAATTGGTGAAGCCATTTTGTAGTTGTCTTTTCTGTAAATAGCTCTATTTGTAAGATTTAATGCTTTTATTTCAAGTGACATTCATAGCTGAAAATGAAGTAGTTTCCGTTGTTGGGAAATGGTCTAGCCTTTTGTTGATGATTTGAACTTTCTTTCTAAAGTTAAAGAATCTTAATCAGATGAGGTTGTTGAAGTTTATAATTTATAGTAACATCTAGTTTGCTTGAGGTGTAGCTGGCTTACTGCCTTTCTAGCATTGTATTATACCTAGTCACTGCTTCATTGAATAAATAGAATTAATCCATCAACTAAAAAAAAAACACACAAATAGACACATGTTGTGCCAAGGAAAAAAAACATATTAATTTTAAGCTTGGCATCATCATTAAGCGGCTTGTAAGGATGTGGACAATAAGGGTAATGGGTTTATGGACTTCCATAAAGATATGGGGGTACATTCGGCGATAGAAGTAGAATTGTTAGCCATTAGCATGGGACTTCATATCTATACCTGACTTAAATACTACAATATTGTGTTGTATACTGACTTGTTCGGTACCTTCATGCCTGTTTAGTATGAGCATTAGAGTGTTAAGATTAGCAATGGCACTGGCATAAATCATTTTAATGTTTGGTATGAGGCACTAAACAATACTTCGGATTGTATAATATCACCCCCCATGGTATTGGAAAATCATTCATGGGATTGAACATTATGTTTACCAAATTATCTCAATAATATTTCACAAACTCCTATTTTTCATTTATTATTAGGTTACAAAAATATGATACCTACTCCTAGTTTCATCCCTCTTTTGACATTCTTCATATTAAGAATATGAAGGGAAGAAATGTAAAGAACAATGGATTTGGGATATTGGTATTAAATATAGCAATTAGGGGGCAAGGGCCTTCTTTCTGCTTGGGTCACTCTTTTATTCACTACCCCATAGTTGACAATTGTGGACAAATCTACTATCTATTTTGATTTTTTTTTTGACTGTAAGATGAATATTGAAATGGTTGTTTTACTATTTTCAAACTGTATTTAAAACTTATTTTACCGTCAGATGCATTTTGAGCCTAGGAATATAGCATTTGCGGATTTATAAGCTTCAATCTAGTTATTTATAAAGGAAGGTAGAATGTCAAACTACATCTAATTGTCATAGTTCTTTATAAGACTACCCACTTATATTTTACTAGCTAGTTAAGACACACACACACACACACACAATCTTCCATATATTTGCTTTTAAAACCATTGCATATAGATACTTTGTCTAAAAGATTAACAAAACAATATCGAATTATAACAATATATATGAATTGTTGTACACTTTACTAGAAAGCCCAACCAATAAATGCTTTAAAACTAGCTATACTATAGCTACAGCTTTTCTTCCCTAACTAAAATATATCGCAAGTCATATTATTCTCAAATCAAGTACAGTGCAATCCATCTTTTTAGATTGCACAAAAAAAGAAAAATGCTTCTAGAACCATGAAAATTTCCAGAAAAAAGAAAAAGAGGCCAAAAAACATTTTAAGTAATTAAATGGCTACTTTTCTGTAGTGGAAGAACCCAAGTTTTTGATACATAAAGGGGTTTCTAAGTGCCTGTTTTGTGGTTTTGGGAGGTTCAATTCTGTCTCTCAACATATAATCATCATACAATTCACCCATCATCAGAGTATAAACATTAATAGATGCTTCTTGATTTGCACAATATGGTTCTTAATTAGAGTTTAAACCCTAGGAGGACCACCCTTCTGCTCAAAAAGGCGACGGAGGAGGAAGACTTGAAGGAAGCTGCCACCTATTAATACTGCTGATTCAAAAATGGCTTTGTGCACCGCTCTGCTACTCAATGCATCGTTCACTGTCATTTCATGCAATTGTTAGACTTCTTATAATTTCATTCAATACATACACATTCTTCATTGATCCTTGACATAAAAATTCAACAGAGTTTTATATTAGCTCTCAAGAACCTAACTCAATTATCCTCCTTTATTCGGGTTTGAAGCTGGTTATAAAATATGGGCGGAGTTTCATGAATATTCAATACATAAAATCTACCAACACGGTGCTGTTCATATATAATATACAGCAGATTTCAGTTTGAGTTTAAAATCAAGCTGAAATGAAGAGACAATAATTCAAAAGTTCTTTATGCTATTTTATGACCATGTGCTGATCATAACTTGTAAATAGTATAACTGATGTATTGATGATTTCTTGATGATAAGATTTTTCATGTTATTGTGAGATGCATATGCGTACCTGTTGCTTGGCGTTCAGTTTGAGCCTCAAGCCAATGTTGTTCAAACTGAATGTTGTAAAGTGCTTCCTCTAATTTTGATATTTGTTGCAACATAGGATTGAAATGCTCTGCATTACATGTAGAGATAACATATTAGACTTTCCATAAGACTTCTCACCAGTGAAAGAATAACCTTCTTTCAAGTGATTAAATTTCATTAACTTCAAACGCTAACCAGTTTAATTACTCGGTTGTACAGCCATTGAAAAAACTTTATTAGTTTGTAGATTTCATGCAGTGTGTAAACTTTTAGTTTAATCTGTATGTCAAATTTGTTTTGGAAACATAAATTTTAGATGAGTTAGATATTGGGATTTATTAAAAGTTAGAGCAGGTCTCATAATTCAAAGAGTACTCATAGAGATATTTATAGATTAATTACTAAAAAATTCTCATATCAGTATGAGATTTTAACGTATGCTTTTGTAAGGTATAAGTTACATCCTTACTGATCAGATTAATTTTCATTAGCAATACTATGCTATAAGTGAAATGACACCAGCATGACAGCCAGTAATGAATCAAAACGGAAGATAAAGATTTTTTTCCCCAATCAAAATTAAATTGAAAACTAAGAAGCCATAATAAATCCAAATCTGAATATGAAAAGTTAGACCTGAAATCTTTTTTTAAACTAATGAGAGGCAACGAATTAAATTATCTTACCGTCTTTTACAAGCTGATCATAGAGGGATAAGTGGCTGATATAGACATCAAAATCAATAGTTTCATGATAGGGAGACCTGTTGGTAAAACAGAAACGATGAAGGCCTTTACTAGTAGCCACAAACTCAAACTTTTCACTTGTCTTGTCCATGAGCTCGTAAACTTTTTCACCCGAAGGCCCCATAACCTAAGATCCATCAACAAATGAATAATGCTTCTGAGTCAATGATTAAGTGTTCTTTAATTTGTTTTCTTTTCATTTTAACAAACAAGATTAAGTTTCCAAATCTATATTAGTACTACCTTCAGTTCTTAATATAAGAGCTAGTTGACTAATTTGAAAATATTAAGAAAATAAATTAAGTTAATTACTTGTAATAAATAAATATTGTCTTTCCTAAAATATCCTTCCTAATTAAGTGTATTGGCTAGAACTACCATTATTAGAAGGATCACCTTAAAAAAAGCATAAATATGAGAAACAAGATGGATTGAGATTTTATATTTCGGACCAAAGTAAAAATCAAACGAAATTTTATATTAAAGACTGGAGGTAGTAATTATTTGGTCAGATATACTCCCTCCAGTCCAAAATTTAGGAGCTAAAATAACCACTAATTTATAAAGATTAAGAAAATCAATTAAATTAGTTATTTATAACAAATATATCACATTTAGTCATTTACATTGAAAACAATCCCCATTGATGAAACCCCTTTTTAGAATGCGCAATCAATGGAATTGTTTAGAAAATAATTATAAATTTATAAGATAAAGTGGATTGATTTTTTATATTTGGGACCAAAGAAAACTCCTTAACCAACTTCTACATTTAAGACAATTGATAATATTATTTATTATGAATTCCAATTCTATAATCACTTGAAGTTCTTCCCGGTCTCACTTGATATCTTTTGATGACTAAAAGCTATTGATTATACTTCCTACTAACATATCTATAACTCCCCCCCCCCCGGGTTTTTAAACATGCTGAAACCACCTTCGGAGAATGATTTGACATATATAATCACATCAAAACAATTCATAAAGCAGAAAATTAACATAAACTATACAGAATCTGCAACAAATTGTTTTAAATTCTAAATAATGCCCATATAAAAAAGCTTGGTTACATTGTGCATAAGATGTCTTTGAGAGTATACAAGAGAGCGGGATATAGTAGTATAGTTACCACAATGTCAACACCTTCAACAGTATATTGCCAAGATGCATCAACCTTAATGACAACAAAAGAAACATGAACTGTGTCCCTCTCGTACTGCACATTATGAGAGAAACACTCTTCCCTGTTTATCACAAATCTGATTCCTTCCACTGCTTGCAGACTCAACATGAAGCTGCTTATTAACAACAATAATGGTCCCACACCAATGCCCAAATTCCGCAAACCCACCTTCATTTCTACATCAAAAACACAAGCCATACCTATCAAAACCTGATACTACTTATAAGAGTTAATTAGGAATTAGATTTGATCATAAATATGTCAGTTCACCCTGTCTTCCAAATTTATAATTATTCTCTAAATATCCTACTGATTACATATATTAAAGTGGTTTTCATCAAAGGATAGTCACGTTTGCAAAGAGCACTTTAAGAAAATTAACTCGTATTTGTTTTAAATAACTAAATTAAATAATTTTCTTAATATATCTAAATTAATTAAGTAGCTCTTATCTTAAGAAGCAGATATAGTAATTAATATGCAATTTCATAAGAAATTGTCGTTCATTTTGAAGAAACAAAATTATAGTTTCCCAGAAGAAAGAATCGTGGATATATATATATATATATATATTTATATATATGAGCGTGTACGTGCGTCTGCAAGCATGCAACAAAGACAAGGTATTTACCAAGAAGTTAAGGATAAACAATCCGCTTAGGGTACAAACTCATCAACATCAACACTACGAAAGCATGAAATTAAATTTGGGGCTTCAAATAATTTCATTTTTTATTTCAAAATTGATCTTTCTCGGCGAGTATGAACATGATATGCAATGCAAGAATCGAACAGAGAAAAATGTTACCTTTTTTCGCTTTTCTCTGGAAACCTGTCTCAGCTCCCAAATCAATCTGGATTAAACAGGAAGAACTTAGCGAGTGCGATGTGAAGATTCACAATTTTCGATAACTGTTATCACATCTCATCTGTTTTAAAATAGTTCGCCAATGGTTTTTTATTATGAAATTTTAGAAGTGATTTTTAAATTTTTCATTGTTAATTTTCTCTTTTTTAAAAAATATGACAACTTAATACTATAATTTGAATTAAAATGTATTTTCAATAATCATGTACTTGTATTTGCAAGGTAGGTCCAGCCGCTGAATAAATGAACAGCAAAACAAAATGCAGCAGCTGTTTGGATCTCCATTTAAGAGAAAAACGTGCCTAGGAATTTGCAAAACGCATGTTTGAAGCTCATTTGGAGTTTTTCAGTTGTTCATGTAGGGTGTATTTGGGATAGTAGTGGCAGAAGTAACTTTTCTTTAATCTGACTTTTACAGAAGTCAGATTAAGTACAAGTAGCTCCTTTGAGATTATTACATAAATTCGTTTCAGTGACAGAAGTGAGATGCACAAAATGTGGATCCAAACATCATTTTTCAACCTACCTGTTACTTCTCCGGTTTGGATGCACGTTTGGGCCTCCAAACGTGATCTCAAACACGCCTATAGATTTTTTGTCTATCAAACTTTTTTTGAAAATTGGGTGCCGTAGAACACAGAAATTTACCGTGGTGAGCATTTAGATAGCTTATTTCCCATTAAAAGAAAATTTAACGCTCATTCAAAATTTTTACGTACCATATTCACCCTTCTCTCTTTTCTTCGTCACTCTTCTCCGTTATGCTAGTTCTCCTAAGCATCTCCAAATTTTCCCTTCAGCATTGCCTCTTCTCCCTTTCTTTGATTGACTCGTTGGTCATTCCCTTTTATCCGGTTGAATAAGTGTTGTCTCCCCCTTTCTCTGGCTAATGTAGTGCACGTAGGGAGCAAATAGCAAGGTTGGCTTGAAATTATAGTGTTGTTCGATCTGGTCTGTTGTGTTATAACTTGCTTTGCTCTGATGCTTCGCTAGTTCTTCCTAGCTTGCTCTGCAATCTCAAAGAAAGGTAACCCAAGCTCACCTCGAAAATCACTTTTTTGTTTAAACTTAGAACAATGACTTATAAATTGTGTTTGTGACTCAATTCAAGAGCAAATTAAATTGTACAAAGCTTATGATCCAATTAGTTATATAATATTATTTAGTTAAAAAAATTTCAATTTAAATGAATTCTAATCTAATCAAAGATCAAATTGTACAAAGTTTTGTATTTTTAAAATTTTCTTAATAGCAAATATTTTTATTTTATAATTTTAATTTTAATCATGTTCTAACATCGCATAAAAACATGTAATATAAAACAATATTACTATTCAATAAAATTTATGTCCTTGTCAAGTTGATTTTTTATAAACTCTTATTGAAATATAATACTAAATTAACATGAACTAAAAGTTATTTTTGATGCCATTAATCCAAACACACCGTCCAATGCTTCAAACCAGAGGCATATGGATCATCTGCCTCTACGCAGGCGAATCCGGCGACGGAAGGTTGGTCTCTCTAGTTGCTGTCATCTCTCTCTTCACGTTATCGCCGTTTTCCCCTCCTATATCTTGGTCTTCTCTCTATCTACGGTTTGTCTTCTCTGCTCTTTGTTCTTCAGTCTCGTCTTCGCTCTTCTGATATGTAATTCGAATGGTGTTCTAGCTCTATAATTTGCACTATGATTTGTTGCGCTTACCAGATAGAAGAGAAAATTGGTAAACAAGTCCGTCCGATGAGGCGTTGAGACTGAAATAGGGTGAGAGAAAATTTTCGCGCCAGAGCTCCCTGAAAACTGAAATTGTCATAGAATGCCCAAGGAAAATGCAGGTGAGTAGGTTTAGGAAATAGGAATGAATAGTGAGGATTAATTATCCAAGGATGTGATGATGTGGCTTCAAACGTACGCCACATCAGCACGAAACAAGGGATCCAGATCCGATCCACTCTCTTTCCGGATCCGGATCATATCGGGCCTTCTCCCCCTGAGTCGCTTCTTGTGCCTTTTCTTCTACTGTCCCGCCATTCCTCTTCTGCAGACAGTGATTACCTCTCATGCCTACACTTCTTGCAGCTTAGCTTCTCTCTCTCTATCTCTCTACTGCTTGTGAGTTTTCACTGGGGATGTTTCAGAACTTTCCCTCTTTGCATCAAAATCCGGAAACCCGTTTCCCTATAGAGCTACTTTAAGCTCTCATACAAGCTACCTTTGTGGTTCGTCTAAGTTCAGCTTGTTGGCCGCCAGTTGCCTACGAGTCTTTGCGAGGGTCTTATTCAGCTATTCTAATTCAGTTTGGATTTTTTTGCACGTAGTTTTTGAATGAATGACGATCTCCGTTATCATTTCCGCACTTGAATTTCTTTAAGTGTACCCGTGATCCAATATTCCAATTTGATGAGTGATTATTGGATAAAAGTATGTAGTTGAAACTTGTCTTCATCTGATTCCCGTAAATAATCTGAAAAATCTTTGTATTTGTGTTGTTTTCAAACCATTTCTTTTACTCCTGTGAAACATGATACTTGTGGCTGACAATGATTAAATTCGAAATGTACATAGCATGCTGATATGTGTAAGGTGAGAATATTGGTGTGTGTGTGTGGAACTGTATATAGTTTTCCAACGAAGTTAATTAGCTTATGATAATATGAGAGGAGATTTCTTGTCCTATGGTGCTCAGGTTGATTTATCAATAATTAACTCGGAAAAGAGGTGGAATTGGTGCCTTTGCATACTCACACATTGTTCTTGTTATTTTCTTGCTTATTTCATCGATGTTTTCTGCTGAATTGAGTGTCTTATGCATTTCTTTCAAGCTTGTTTGGTGGCTATTGGATAACATTCCCTAATATTACTTCTTCTTTTTTTTTTCTCTGTCTTGTGGCATGAAGTTGCTTTAAAACTTGGTTGGCACTCGCATCAGTATGGATGTAGCACATTGCTATTTAGATGGCAATGCTGATGCTGTGGAGTTCTGTCCACACAACTCATACCACCATGTTTTAGCAGCCTCTACATATACACTGAAAGAAGGCGATCAACCAAGTCGATGTGGAAGCATTTCACTCTTTAATGTTGATGCTGAGTTAAGCTCCCTCGACTTGGTTTATTGTGTGGAGACTTCTGGGATATTTGACATAAAGTGGAATCCGCCAGGAGGGCATGCTAATTATTTTCTGGGTCAAGCGGATGCTGATGGGTACTTGAGAATTCAAAAGCTGGAGGGTTGCTGTAGTGATGCTAAAGGTATGCATTAAGTCTTTATTTTGTTGTCATTTCCACCACGCTTTTTGTGCCTTTTCTGTTGGGGGGAAAACAAGAAATGTGAAATAAATTACTTTTCTTGATTGAAGAATACAATATTGTCGAGTTCATAACTTTTCAACTTATAAACCATTTTAGAAGTACAAAAATTTCAAGCTTGATATGCATGGGTACGGATAGTCTGCACAAGTAGTCTCAGAAGCTTCCTTGAGAAGTTCGATTCCTATTCTTGGCTTTTTCCAGGAATTTCAAATGCTTCTATTTTATTATTTGACCAATTCTATCGGGAACGTTTCACAATGGTATTAGAATATTTCATTGCCGCTTCTATCTATTGTTTGGCTTACAAGTCCACAGTTACCTGCTTTTGTTTCTTTAGCTGCATTTTTTTTTCAGGGTAGCAGGTTGTCTTGTTGAACAATTTTGGGAGGAATAGATAGTTTTGTGAACATGTAATATAATATCACCAAATAACTTTCAGATAAATGATATCATTGCGACAACTTGCTGTACATGTATACAACTATGCTCAATACCATGGCCCATGGGTTCTGTTGCTAACAAAATTAACATAAATCACTAATCAGTCTAGCATAACTTTTCTAGCTTAACTAGTTAAATGATATCCTTTGTTAGTTAAAACTATTAGTGTAATCCTCTGCATTTTGTAGTCTCTTGTATGTGTGCGCACACATATATGTTAAGTTGCGGCATCTAAGATTGGTTGAAAACCTCACAGTTTTGTTGACGTACTGAACTTCAATAGGATACTTGGCTGAGGCATTTTATTTTCTTGGTAATATTATTTTCTATTGGCTCTGTGGCAGGGGCTTCTCTAAAAGAAGTGACCAGTGAAAAAATCAGCAATTCAATGTGCCTGTACCTGGACTGGAACCCTTCGGCTACATTAATCGCAGTGGGGCTTTCTGATGGCTCTGTATCTATTGTTTCCCTCTCAGAATCCGGGCTGGAAATACAAGAAAACTGGAAGGCTCATGATTTTGAACTATGGACAACCTCCTTCGACACTCACCAACCAAATCTGGTATACACTGGCTC